CTCCCCGAGACTGTGGGGGCAGTAAACCTGCGTCAGAACAACACCAGACTCAAACCTCAACACGTTTGTTTACATCTGTGTTTAAAACTTTAACTCACAGAGTCAAAGTCCCGACTTTACACATTTATAAAGTTTTATCTTTGAAAAAAGATTCTGGACTGTCCACTGTGGCCCCGTTCACACTAGTGTGTATGTGAGTGTTCGTTCACACTAGTGTGTATGTTCATACAGATGTGCTGGGGATACTCTGATGTGTGTCTGTCACCGCCAAGACACACAATATGTGTCTGTGTGCACCACCTGCACACGTATAATGTGTGAAAAGTTTCACATGAACCAACAACACGACACAAACACAAAACAGACTGAACATCAGCAGAACATCCCTCTGACACAGAGAGAACACCCCTCTGACACAGAGAGAACACCCCTCTGACACACACCCCCTCACACAGAGAGAACACCCCTCTGACACAGAGAGACACCCCTCTGACACAGAGAGAACACCCTCTGTCACAGGGAGAACACCCCTCTGACACAGGAGAGACACACCCCTCTGACACAGAGAGAACACCCCTCTGACACAGGGAGAACACCCCTCTGACACAGAGAGAGAACACCCCTCTGTCACAGGGAGAACACCCCTCTGACACACAGAGAGAACACCCCTCTGTCACAGGGAGAACACCCCTCTGACACAGAGAGAACACCCCTCTGACACAGAGAGAGAACACCCCTCTGTCACAGGGAGAACACCCCTCTGACACACAGAGAGAACACCCCTCTGTCACAGAGAGAACACCCCTCTGTCACAGGGAGAACACCCCTCTGACACACAGAGAGAACACCCCTCTGACACAGGAGAACACCCCTCTACCCCTCTCACAGGGACCCTCTGAACACCCCTCTGTCACAGGGAGAACACCCCTCTGACACAGAGAGAGAACACCCCTCTGTCACAGGGAGAACACCCCTCTGACACACAGAGAGAACACCCCTCTGTCACAGAGAGAACACCCCTCTGTCACAGGGAGAACACCCCTCTGACACACAGAGAGAACACCCCTCTGACACAGAGAGAACACCCCTCTGTCACAGGGAGAACACCCCTCTGTCACAGGGAGAACACCCCTCTGACACAGAGAGAACACCCCTCTGTCACAGGGAGAACACCCCTCTGACACAGAGAGAACACCCCTCTGTCACACAGGAGAACACCCCTCTCACAGGGAGAACACCCTCTGACACACAGAGAGAACACCCCTCTGACACAGAGAGAACACCCCTCCCACAGGGAGAACACCCCTCTGTCACAGGAGAACACCCCTCTGACACGGGAGAACACCCTTGACACAGGGAACACCCCCTCTGACACAGAGAGAGAACACCCCTCTGTCACAGGGAGAACACCCCTCTGACACACAGAGAGAACACCCCTCTGTCACAGGGAGAACACCCCTCTGTCACAGGGAGAACACCCCTCTGACACAGGGAGAACACCCCTCTGACACAGAGAGAGAACACCCCTCTGTCACAGGAGAACACCCCTCTGACACACAGAGAGACACACAGAGAGAACACCCCTCTGTCTCACAGGGAGAACACCCCTCTCACAGGGAGAACACCCCTCTGACACAGGGAACACCCCTCTCACAGAGACACAGAGAGAACACCCCTCTGTCACAGGGAGAACACTCATATTCCACTGAGTCCAACACAAACTGAACCACATCAGACACAAGAAACAAGTGTTTTTTTCACACACATTAGTTTATGTAAATGAATCATGTGATTTAACGTTTAGTTTGTGTAAAACAGAAACAAATGTGTCAAATCTGAGTGTGGAGAGAAAAGAAGCACAGACGTGACGAGTGTGGACACAGATCAGTTCAGATACTGAGATTCATTTCAGTGTAAACTGGGTCTGGATCATCAGTGTTTGAACAAACTGGGCCCCGGGATCTGACATGAGGCCCCTGAAAGGCCCCTGGGCCAGAAACATCCTAGAACCACCACTGATCTATAGACCTGGTTTAGTCCTGGTTTAGTCCTGGTCCAGTCCTGGTCCAGTTCTGGTTTAGTCCTGGTCCAGTCCTGGTTTAGTCCTGGTTTAGTCCTGGTCCAGTCCTGGTCCAGTTCTGGTTTAGTCCTGGTCCAGTTCTGGTTTAGTCCTGGTCCAGTCCTGGTTTAGTCCTGGTTTAGTCCTGGTCCAGTCCTGGTTTAGTCCTGGTTAGTCCTGGTTTAGTCCTGGTAGTCCTGGTTTAGTCCTGGTTTAGTCCTGGTCCTGTTTAGTCCTGGTTTAGTCCTGGTTTTAGTCCTGGTCCTGGTTTAGTCCTGGTTTAGTCCTGGTCCAGTCCTGGTTTAGTCCTGGTTTAGTCCTGGTTTAGTCCTGGTCCAGTCCTGGTTTAGTCCTGGTTTAGTCCTGGTCCAGTCCTGGTTTAGTCCTGGTTTAGTCCTGGTCCAGTCCTGGTTTAGTCCTGGTTTAGTCCTGGTCCAGTACCTCTTGTTCATGAGGAGGATGACTCCGAGGGAGATGATGATGAAGAGGAGGACGGCGGCGATGGCTCCGGCGATTTTCACCGTGTGGTCGGACGGCGTCTCGTGCTCCGGCTCCGGCCTCCGAGTCACCGCCCCTGCAACGACCAGAGCACGACCTGAGTCACAGAGGGCGTCTGACACTATGACCTGAGTCACGGAGGGCGTCTGACACTATGACCTGAGTGAGGGAGGGCGTCTGACACTATGACCTGAGTGAGGGAGGGCATCTGACACTATGACCTGAGTGAGGGAGGGCGTCTGACACTATGACCTGAATCACAGAGGGCGTCTGACACTATGACCTGAGTGAGGGAGGGCGTCTGACCTATGACTGAGTTTGAGGGCGTCTGACACTATGACCTGAATCACAGAGGGCGTCTGACACTATGACCTGAGTGAGGGAGGGCGTCTGACACTATGACCTGAGTGAGGGAGGGCGTCTGACACTATGACCTGAGTCACAGAGGGCGTCTGACACTATGACCTGAGTCACAGAGGGCGTCTGACACTATGACCTGAGGCTGATCATGTAAAGCTTCAGTGCGTCACTTTCTTGGTGGTTTCATGGAAACAGAGAGTTAAAGTTTTACTACGGAACATTCTCCATGGAGACAGACACATTAATGTCACACTGTGGAACTTTACACACAAGACACACACACAAGCGTTTCCATGGAGACAGATCAGAGTCTGTGGAGAGGCGAGTCCAGTCACTCCCATAAACGCAACCACAAGGAACCAGGTCTAAACAAGAACTAAACCAGGTCTAAACCAGGTCTAAACAAGAACTAAACCAGGTCTAAACCAGGTCTAAACCGGGTCTGGTCCAGGTCTGGTCCTGGTCCTGGTCCTGGTCTTGGTCTTGGTCTTGGTCCTGGTCCTGGTCTTTGTCTTGGTCTTGGTCCTGGTCTTGGTCTTGGTCCTTGTCTTGGTCTTGGTCTTGGTCCTGGTCTTGGTCTTGGTCCTGGTCTTGGTCTGGTCTGGTCTGGTCTTGGTCCTTGGTCTTGGTCCTTGGTCTTGGTCTTGGTCGGTCCTGGTCTTGGTCTTGGTCTTGGTCCCTTGGTCTTGGTCTTGGTCTTGGTCTGGTCTGTCTTGGTCCTGGTCCTGGTCTGGTTGGTCCTGTCTTGGTCCTGGTCTTGGTCTTGGGTCTTGGTCCTGGTCCTGGTCTTGTCTGGTCTGGTCTTGGTCTGGTCCTGGTCCTGGTCTTGGTCTTGTCCTGGTCTTGGTCTTGGTCCTTGGTCCTGGTCCTGGTCTTGGTCTTGGTCTTGGTCCTGGTCTTGGTCTGGTCTTGGTCTTGGTCTTGGTCTTGGTCCTGGTCCTTGGTCTCTTGGTCCTTGGTCCTTGGTCTTGGTCTGGTCTGGTCCTGGTCTGGTCCTGGTCCTGGTCCTGGTCTTGGTTTGGTCCTGGTCTTGGTCCTGGTCTGGTCTGGTCTTGGTCTTGGTCTTGGTCTTGGTCCTGGTCTTGGTCTTGGTCTGGTCTTGGTCTTGGTCCTGGTCTTGGTCTCTTGGTCTGGTCTTGGTCTGGTCTGGTCTCCTGGTCTTGGTCTCTGGTCTTGGTCCTTGGTCCTGGTCTCCTGGTCCTTGGTCTGGTTGTCCTGTCTTGGTCTTGGTCCTGGTCTTGGTCCTGGTCTTGGTCCTGGTCTTGGTCTTGGTCTTGTGCAGTAAACAGGTGTACCTATTAAAGTGGCCGTGTCCATTAGAGTCGAGGCTCAGATTTAATTTCACCGAAGAAAATAGTTTCAGTTTGAGCCTCAACCTCACGAAGACTCATCTGTCCCCAGAGACTCAGACCGGGTCCAGACCGGATCAAGTCCTGGTTTAGTCCTGGTTTAGACCTGGTTTAGTCCTGGTTTAGTCCTGGTTTAGACCTGGTTTAGTCCTGGTTTAGACCTGGTTTAGTCCTGGTTTAGTCCTGGTTTAGACCTGGTTTAGTCCTGGTTTAGTCCTGGTTTAGTCCTGGTTTAGTCCTTGTTTAGACCTGGTTTAGTCCTGGTTTAGACCTGGTTTAGTCCTGGTTTAGTCCCTGGTTTAGACCTGGTTTAGTCCTGGTTTAGACCTGGTTTAGACCTGGTTTAGTCCCTGGTTTAGACCTGGTTTAGTCCTGGTTTCCTGGTTTAGACCTGGTTCCTGGTTTAGTCCTGGTTTAGACCTGGTTTAGTCCTGGTTTAGTCCTGGTTTAGACCTGGTTTAGTCCTGGTTTAGACCTGGTTTAGACCTGGTTTAGTCCTGGTTTAGACCTGGTTTAGTCCTGGTTTAGACCTGGTTTAGACCTGGTTTAGTCCTGGTTTAGACCTGTTTAGACCTGGTTTAGTCCTGGTTTAGACCTGGTTTAGACCTGGTTTAGACCTGGTTTAGACCTGGTTTAGTCCTGGTTTAGACCTGGTTTAGACCTGGTTTAGTCCTGGTTTAGACTAGTCCTGGTTTAGTCCTGGTTTAGACCTGGTTTTAGTCCTGGTTTAGACC